CGTCGATATTGTTTTCCGTGCTAAGCACCAATGCTACCGACGCCAGGGAGGCAGCTCCCACACTTTGACCCTACCTATTGACCCATCAACTCATGAACCGGGGACCAACGGCTTAACTTCCCTTCCGAGAGAAGGCGTGATCAGAGATGTTATGCCTCATAACTGCCATTCATGTTCTATCACTCGCTCTTACTCTCTCCCTGGGTGAACTCTAAGCTTCTTGCGTCGAACAAAAAAGTCATCCGGAGTCTCGAAATGCGCACCTCACGTCAAATCATCCTCTCGCTGAAGTTCACTCTCCCTCTCTCTCGAGGAGTTTTTGTTTACTTCTTCCATATTCCTGTCGCCACTCACTCGAGGTAAGGGCTGGCTAAACTCGCAGGACAAATTCTGTTTAAAATTCCTATAGTGAGTTTGAGGAGTTTTAGCAAGCCTGGTTCAAAGTAGGCCCGAATCCCTGCCATAATACGTCTTTGAATTTCTCTGCTTGTATCATTTTTGGCAGTCACCAGTGAGCCCAAAGACGCGAACCCCTCGAACACCTCGATTTCGTCACCGTCAGTCTGAACTCGGAGTGGGAGGCTGTGGGAACTTACGTAGCGACAGATTCCTTTTCCAAGTGGCCGTCCCAGCGCACTATCAAATCTTCCTGCAGCTGGTTAACCACCGTCTTCTGATGACAAGACGCCTCTTAATGTCCGAGCTTACCACACCGGCGACAGTTTTTATTCAATTCCGGCCACTGTCTCCCAATGTAAGCGGGACGATCACAACGCGAACATCGGTTTCGTTTACCCGGTCTGTACAAACTTCGCCCAGAACCGTTTTTTTGTCTTCCTAGCGCTTAGCAACCGGACCTTTGGAGACAATAGAGTGCTGAACACTACGCAAATGGCTGTGTCCCACTGCTGTTTATTGGTCTGGTGGATACGCTTTCCGGTTTGTCGGTGATTTAAGAGTTCAACAGCTAGCACGCCACCTCCACTCGAGCTTGTCTCCTCTTCGAAGGCCTCGCAACGGATAGCCGACTGAACCACAAACTCAGTATCGTAATTGAACATTCGGGCCGCTCTCGCCAACTCCTTGTTTAACATCTCTTTCAGTAGTTGGGATCTGACTAAGCGGACTTGATTCTCCTCACTGTATTTACAGAGCCGAACTTGTGACACTAATCTTTCGCGGAACGTCACAGTGGACTCTCCACGGCCCTGCGTCATGGCAGTGAACTTGTCATGTTCCGCAGTAACGTCTGTCGTTGCTCGGAAACAGCTGGAGATATTTCCTACCATTTGTCTGTAGCAGTCTAGGTCAGAGAATAGCTAGAACGCAGGACTGCGTTGCAACTGAGCCTGTTGTGCGGAGTATGTGATGCCATTTAAGGAGATCGCTATCCTGAACTTCTCCAAATACCTGGTAAATGCCTCCCTCATACATGTTGTTTTATCTGTCTTACACCGTTCGAAAAATTTATGTACATTTCTATGAGATATAGCGCACATAAAATTAACGCTAGACTTGGCATAAATTTACGCGATATTTTGTGTAAATTTTAGCGCAATATCGTATAAATTAGCAATATTGTATGCAAGCTTTTAAACGATTTCGTTGTTTATGCCAAGTATAACTCAAAGTTAAACGAAGGGAGATTCTATGCGATAGTTAATATTCAGAATTTTTTTCTGTGTACGAAAAGGTGGAATGTTATCAAATCTGATGGGAAAGCTTGACACAGGTATCACATTGGAGGTCAGTTCACTTCAGCCTTGCGTCAAATCGACTAGTGCTTTTTGCAACACGTCCAGTCTAGCACTCGTGTCGGTGGCCTTTACACTCGTGGTCGTTGTTCCGCTACAAATTGACGAGTGCACAGATGAATTTGAGTTCACTCACTCGACAAAAAGTGACACAACAGCGGGGCCCTGTTTACTAAAAATGAACACATGTGTTCATTTTTAGTAAACAGGGCCCCGCTGTTGTGTCACTTTTTGTCGAGTGAGTGAACTCAAATCCATCCGTGCACTCGTCAATAGCATTCGTTTTTTTCCGAATTGGCATCCAAAGATTCGATCGCAGCAGTGTTCACTACAACGCACATATTTCCTTTGTCTTTTGGAGGGCGTGCATTCGCGGTCCCCGCTGGAAGCTCGTGTTCTGCGTATGATCCTTCATCACCCGAACAGCTTCCTAACGCATCTTTGCTTAAATATGACAGGTTGGAGGAGCTATCACCATCTTCATCTCTGTCCTTGATTGAAATTCTCGCGCATTTTCCAGTGTCTTTCATACTTATCCACTGCCGAGAAAATAGCAGGAAAAACCGATCAGAAATCTCGTGATGAAGATCTTAAACTTTCCGCCTAGTGTCCCATGGTGCTAATTCGACCGCAGCCAATGAGCTTTCGGAGTGATATCTGAAAAAGACCGCAAACTAAATCACGGACATTGGCCCTCTCGCTGCAGGAAGAAACGAATGGGCACGTGTCCATGGGTGCAGTAGAATCCAGTCGGTGGCAATAGTTTCAACTCTAAGGGCAACATTTGCAATCAATTTGTGGGGCCGTGCTTGGGCTGCTGCTGGTTAGAACCTCAATAGAATTGACAATTAGAAAATGTTCCGTGCCATATGTCTTGGTTTTTTTGCAGGACATCTTTACATTTTTTACCAACTGTTCCTCCTGATGCTGCTGCTTTCATTAAGAAATGAATAATTTCATGTCGATAACAAAGCTTCGCCACGTAAACGTAAATTGACAGTTAGCCGAGGGGTATGTTGCAATGCGTATTTGACGGGGCGTAGAGTGTATCCCACATCCCACTCCTTCTAAAAAAAAAATGAACTCGCTAACTTCAGATAGTTTTCGGAGACGTGTAAATAAAGTGGGATGATATAGAAGTCTATGTTCGCAATCCTTCATTGACAGTTATCTGTTTAGTTCAAACTACACACTTAAAAAAAATCATGTAAATTTAGGTGCTCTGAGACTGACATATATGAGCGTCAATTTTTACCTAAAATTGAGTCATAATAGGTGGAAAATTCAGCTTAATCAAACGAACTTTTCAGTCTCGGTGCATTTAATTTTACATGACATGATGGTTTACGTCTCTTCTTTTATGTCAAAGATGAATTCCGTCACGTGTAAAATTAGGTATTTCTAAGTGTGTAGGTGCTTGATTCTTACAATGTACTGCTGTGACGATTTGGTTCAGTAGATGCGCGCACTGCCACCTTCTCCTGCTCTACTAGTCTAACATAATCCTTGAGATAGGAAGAAGCTTTTACTGTAGCACAGATAGAGTGATGGATAATGCACAGATCTGACTATCGCAAGGTTCATGATTCAAGTCCGGTCTGAAGCCTATTTTTATTAATAAAAAACTAAAATAAATAGTCACACCATCTGTTACCTAAAACAGAGTCGATCTGTTTATATACTGGTAGAATTAAGGGCGTTATTCAGTTAACTATCACGTCCACTGATGTCAGCAAAACTCAAACATCGCAACTTCATCTCACCTCAACACATTTTAGCGTTCGGTTCCTTCCATGAAAACAAAATGGCTCTAACTTAGTTTTCGTTTGTTCCTTGCAACCGTATTTCTTAATTTTCACTTTCAAAAAGCTTTTTAGCTGCTAACGTGTTGAGTGATTCTCACAGCAACATTATCCAGAATGCTCAATTTGTATTCAATTTAACTGGCAGGATCGCCATTGTGGGAACTTATTGCTCCGGGTGAGAATCACCCACCACGGTGCAGTAATCACACAGTAGGTAACTCAACAACCAGCGACCGAAGGAGGACTCGAACACAGTGCTCACTGCTTTCGTGTTGCTAAGAGCAACCGTAACGGTACGCTGCTAAACTCATTTTAGCAGCCCTCATCATAGCGCAGCTACCGTATCGGGGGTTGCCATACGAGTAACTAAAATAGCAGTCGGCTTCTCGGTGAGAAGCGCGTTACCAAATTTAGCAGCGCGATAGCAGCGCGATAGCAGCGCGGGAGAAAGGTTGCTATTCGTAGAATTGTCAAAATGCTCACTACCGGTACGGACTACGGCGAGTAAATTGATAACCGCGATAGCAGCGACCGGTGTGGAGAAGAGTGACTAAACTAAAATGAGAGCGCTGTGCGCTGTTAAAATAGTCGCGCAAATGACAACGACCGTTACGGTTGCTCTAAGCTGCAAGAGGATGAATCTGTTCATTCGTCTGACTGTTCAACGAGGGGTTCTTCCATGCATTATGCAATAACGAACGGTAATACATTCAGTTATGTATACACTCCACAGAGACTAACATTGTCTTCGCTAGAACCTTTTCCTTTCATGTATTTTGTCTTTGATCCGTTGATGGCAAGTCCAATCCGCCTATCAGACTGAAGGCTGATCTGATATACGTTTCCGCCATCGTCTCAAAGTTCCGTGCCATGATGTCGATGCCATCGGTGAAGCTAAGAAGCTGGATGCGCTTCCTGAAAATTGTGCCACTCGTGTCTATCCCTGCTCTTCTGATCACACCTTCTAACGCGATGTTGAATGGCAGACACGAAACGAAAAGAAAAAATTGCGGGCCGAAAATCTCCTCGAATGAGTTACATGCATTTTTGATCTCAAGGACATTTCTTATGATATATACATTACTTATCCAACTAAGAATCAATACGGAGCAAGCATAGGAACATTTTTTCCGCGGCACAATTTCGCACACAGTTATTAATTAACTATCACAGCAAAGACGAAAAAACTATATTTTTTGGCATTACACTTAGTTGATGGACCTCCGGATACCGTTCTTCCCGCTGACGGTAGTAACTAAACATCCATTCAACTATTTCCTTTAGAAGATCCTGGTAGTCACCACTGTGATAGTAGTTTTTTTAATTTAAATAAAAACTAAATAATAAATAAAAATCTCCGTTCTGTTTCGTTTCGTCGAATGGTCACTCATAGTTTGAATATATACAATGATCTTACAAAAAAAAAAACCTTCTCTTACAGTTATCGATCTCAATCGTATTCAGAATCGAATGTTCCCGACAAGACCCGTTCAATCCGTACTATAAATTACAACTAGAGAGGAAATCCTCAACCAGCCAACCTATCACAATGACCTCCGTCAAAGACACGGCATCGTTCTTCGTCAACGGCAGTTCGAACCAGTTCGACTTCGTCCTGGCTATGTATCCACAGGTTCTCAAACTGAAAGCTCAAAATAAATGCAAAAAACCAGAAGACCTTATCCGGCTAGACGATTGGTATCAAAATAAGCTTCCACAGTTGATCAAAAAGCGCGGCAAGGAACGGTTCCTGGTGCACGAAGAGCTGGTTCAGACCATGAAATGGAAGCAAACACGCGGCAAGTTCTTCCCGCAGTTGTCCTACCTGATCAAAGTCAACACACCACGGGCCGTGATGGCAGAAACCAAGAGAGCATTCAAAAAACTTCCCAACTTGGAGCAAGCCATCACGGCACTGTCGAATCTGAAGGGCGTCGGAACTACGATGGCTTCGGCAGTATTGGCTGCAGCCGCCCCCGAATCTGCCCCGTTCATGGCAGATGAGTGTCTAATGGCAATCCCGGAGATTGAAGGCATCGACTACACCACCCGCGAGTACATGAACTTTGTCCAGCACATCCAAGCCACTACGGACCGGTTGAACGAAGAAGTGCACGGGCCGGTGAGTAGTTCAAACGCAGATGGTAGCAATGACGAAGATAGTGGCGATGTGCCCAATATTCAAAAGAAGTGGTCCCCGCACAACGTAGAACTTGCCCTATGGACGCACTATGTTGCGAGGGAACTGCAACCTGAGTTGTTGGACGACATGCCTGCCGCAACGGAGGGCAGTAAAAACAGCTACTCTCGAAATCCAACGTCAACGATTACTGCCGCCACCAAGACAACCACCGCCACGAATGGTGCCTCGTTACCGTCGTCCGAAAACAATACCATTGAGGAACCGTCCGACGAGAGCAACCTGGAAACCGAGCTCGGTAAGGCCACCTCGGATGAATCCTCCAAAGACAACAAATACACCGATAGCTTGGACGAGTGTACCAAATCGGAGGATAGTCTGGAGAAGCCCAGCACCACGACGGCCAGCATTCGGAACAACAACAGCGACGAGGTAAATGATAGTGATTCGCAGAGTAGTGCAAAGAGGTCAACCACATACGACGATGAAGAGGAGGACGAGGAGGACGAAGACGACGAGGAGGACGGAGAGGAAGATGACGAAGAAAGTTCGGCCGATGGAGTTCCGGATGCCAAGAAAGCAAAGGTGGAGTAGAGCTGTGCAGGAAGCGGGAAAACTTTTCTAATTACAATTAAACCAGAAGACCGGGGCCGGCGCGTCTGAGCAGACAGAGAAAGAACGAATCACAAATCAAAATCAGTTAACATAATTAACGTCGGACAGTGTGCGCTTCCTAGGACTTCCAACCAGGGGCATGGAACAGGTACTACATCGGATCTAGGTAAGTCTAAAACAGTTGAAGAGGGGGCTGAGAAGGCAGGAGAGGGTGGGTGGTAAACATCATCAACATTAACAACAACAATGCGCCGTAACTGAAAACACTATGTACAAATTATGCTTAACTGATTGTAAGTGGAAAAGCACGTGAGCTAAACCCTAGGAAGAGACTGGGTGGGTGAATGGAGACGAGAGAGGCAAGAATAAAAGAAAATTGCGGCTAATTGCCTACAGATACACACACACACAGGGACAACCTGATTGGGGAAGAGATAGACAAGGGATAAACTTTAATTGAGAAGAATTGCTTGATATGAAGGGAATACGCTTTTTTCCCTTCGAACGGTTAGATTTTAGTAGGAAGTTGAGGCATGATTTAATGAAAGAAGTGAAAAAAAAAACACAAATATCGAGAAGAAGAGTGGTTGAAGGCGGAGAGAGAATGAACGGAAGTCTTATCATTAAGCTAAAACTTATTTGATACTCTTCGGGCGAACCTATCTTAGTATATAGTTGAACTCTAGTTGATGTTCCGTTTTTTATTTCCTTCAGCTGACTGCTTCGCTTGAAATGGGTTCCCATTTTCCAATGATTTGTTAATGCTTTCCTCCTCATTCTTGGATTTTTGCTAAGTCGGCGCGTGATTATATCAAGTGGAAAATGCTTTCATTTTTTTAATTAGCTCAGGTCCGCGGTTACTCGTACGCTGGCTGAAGTGGATGGAGTTTATTTTTCTCTTTAATTTAAAGAGATCTCTGTGGTTAGCAAATTAAGAATTATTGGATATGTTGGCCTTCGATATTCCCCTAGAATGAGATCCGGAAACATCAATTCCCCTTTTCACGCTGCCGATTTGAGATAGAAAAATGCATAACTGAATGCGCCTCCACCCTTTCTCAACTGATCCTGATCCAAAGTTAAGTCTGCACACTGTATCGTATACTAAACTTTCGTTTAGCTTGATTTTAATATTCGAAATAAACACACACACACACACATACATACACACACCGCTTGCAAGGGCACATTCCATCTCTTGAAACCGATTTTCGTTGTACGTTCAAGTTGAAAGTAAACCAATGTAGACACCTAACCGTACGTTAATAAATATAGTCAAAAAAGAAAAATAAATGAAAATAAAAAGTAAATGTATTGGATTCAATTCAAAATTATGTCCACGTTTCCAGTTTCAGTTTCATGAAAGTTTTCGAAGATTGTGAAATAATACAGATGCGATTATAAAAATAAAAGCTGGTTTTCATTTCATTCGTTGCAATATTGTGCTAAGCAGATTCTCGTATTAGAAAATTATTATTTATTATAAACATTATGGTCATTATTATCACCATACTATAATCAAACAAAAGGTCTTAAGTATCACTCACAGTCTAATCAAGGGGAAAGAAAAAAGAAAAGAAAAACATAAAAATTTACTAATTATCAGTACAGCCAATCTTGTAAAAAAAATGAATTTTGGAAGAAGAAGTAAAAGTGGTAAAAATTAAATAGTATTAGTTGCCGTTTTAGTTTCCGGTATGTATTCAAAGAAAGGAAAAAAAAAGTAAAATTTAAGCAAATCTATACGAAACACATGTTACAAAACAAGAAACATAGAAATGACAGTTACTGACAAACACCATCCCCGAAAAATGAAAATACAAACATTTACAAGCAGAGATTGAAAAACTCTTACCTAAGTAGCAAAAAACCTGAGTGCGAAAAAAATGCCAGCCCTGCTGGATGCAGTTATTACAAGACAAACTTATACAACACACAGCTATGATCGAAGAAAACCAATAGTAGCCCTAGGGACTAGTGATCAAACCAATAAAACTTAAAAGAAAAACCGAAAACAACATTTAAAACAACTAAGAACAAACAGTAAATAAAAACAGAAACCACTAATAGCCTTTAATGAAAAACAAATAAGGAAATACTTTAAATGAATGTAAAGCGTAAGTAGAAACACAATATACCGAGAAAAAAAAAACAAGCAGGACGATATACGGAAACATGGAGAAAAATGACAGCAGCGAATACACCCATACCCAAACACGCATAGCACACACTCCTATCCATAAACCTAGCGATACAACTGGTCCCCACTGCAAGGACATAGCGTTAAGCAGCATTCTAGTGTTAACTGAAGGAAACACTAAAATACAACTTTACAGAATGGTAAAACTAAATAAATAAGTGATTATGATACAAAATAGATCGGTTGTTTCATTTCACTTGATTTGGTTTCTGCTCTGCTCTAAAATCATTCTCGCAGCAATTTCCCGTTGTACTGGGTTCACTAAGTGCAAATATCTTCAGGTGGGAAACAATTTTTTATCTTCTTTCAGGGCCGATCGAAGTCATATCAACATATTACAGGTATCATGAGACAATAACTTCGGACTGATTCCGGGAATAGCCGGTCCATTACCAAGTGAGTACAATTTTTGTGAAGAAGCTTTATGTGTATGAAGAATATTATCTCTTATTGTGGGAAATGAGTAGTGATGGGCATATTCACACTCAATGTATAGCAACTGAAAATAAATCAACTGGTACAGTATACTCCCATGAATCCGGTATAGCTTGAATCGGAATCATTTTAACGCAGAGCTTGATAAATCGAAGAAAGCTTTCCTTATCTTGGTCCAGGAATCAGTCTTCAAGTGTGTTTGTAATCATATCTCAATAAATAATCAGTCTTCAGACGAAGTTCTTCTGTCAACCAACATCCCGCATAGAACATAACTATAAAAAGTGCGGAATATATCCTTAAGTCAATGCGGTATGGTCGCACTATCTGAGATATTGTTCGTGTATGGTCCCCGTTTATTAGGGATGCGTGCTGACAGAAGCTCATTATTTCGTTCACAATTGAAAGATGCAAGCAATTAGAAAACTTACTAAATAAAAAATTACAAGCTATAGGGAAAATCCGGGTAAAACCGACAACCGACACCCATTGAATTTTCAGATCTGTTTTCACAAATTGTTTGGTAACCCTTATACCCATTAGTTATTTATTCTGTTTCAAATCATCCTATAGCTGCCGTTATCCTGTAACTGTCAAAATAAATATCAAAGTCAGCATTGACCCAACAGTTGCTTTTAGATTTCGCTCTCGGCTTCTAACTGTTTTCATTACATTTCACGTAACATTTCATAACTTTCGGTAATTTATATGTGCCAATCGACACTTACAGTTTGTGTGTGTGTATTCAATCCAACCCAAACTGGCCGGCAGTGGTATTCCCGGATAAAAATAACCATAAAATTACAGTCAAATATCAATAAAATACAATAGATTCTATTGTTTTTCTTTAATGTGTTTATTTTTCCAGGCTCATTTGCCGTAGCTTTGCGGAGCCGATATTCATCGTTTGGGTAACAAAATTACTTAAAACCAGAGTTAATGTACACGTGCATCCATCCCGCGTAATAGAGACACGCTTTCTATAAGATCATAGGTGCCTGGTACATTTCGAGACGTATTATTTCGCGTTTCTTTTTTGTTCCTACATGCCTCATTCGTGTCACATGTGCTGTGTCTCATGAGCTAAGCTCGGCGAGCTCCAGGGAGATCGGCAGCGTACCTACGTCCTGCGTGCATGCTAAAAGTGGCTGGTGGGTGATAAAAAAAAACAGCAGAGAACTGTTGTAGTCCTTGTCACATTCTCGTGTTGCTGGTACAACTGATTGATTTCAATCAGTTGATATTCAGTTTTTGAGGGTTGAGAGATTGTGGTTTTATAGAAGTATTTCAAACGGAAGATGAGTTAAACGATTACGAACCAATTACCGGCGGGGTTATTTGTTACCGATCCATGCGCATGGAATTTTCATGGTTCAAAATATTTAGCTACACCAAGTTCAAACGACTTCAAATCAGCTCCTGATCATTCTCACAAAATTTGATCTCATTAGGATGTTTTTTAATTTTTTTAATTCTTTATTAAAGAGATTTTTAGCCTTAGGCTAGTTCATCTCTAATCATTAGGATGCGAACTCATACTGCACTTGGCCCTTTGAAGTTTATGTGGGAATTGAAAAATTGAACGTTAGGATAGTTAGTTATTAATTGATTAGGAAGATGTTGTTCTTCTGACATGGTGCATTTACTACTCAGCACACAACATTGGAATAATAGAACAAAAAATCGAGGCTATTATGTCATAAGGGCAAGATGCAGTGTTGCCTTGAAAACAGCCGATTAATCCTACCAGCAAGTTATCAACTTGGAAATTAAATAATAACAAATTTTCTTGACATTCAATTGAAAAGTGGTTTTGAACAAAGTTGTAGCTGGGAAATTTGCACGTAAAAGGCCCACGCAGAGGGGGCTCTGATGGACAACTTTTCCGTAAATCATTATGGTGCAGGGCTAGAACGATGAGGACAAAAATACACTTTTCTTATAGTAATTCCCATAGAAACTTCAAAGAGCCAGTGCAGAATCAGTTCGCCACCAAATTAGCTCAAATTTTGGGATATTGATCAGCCTGATTTGGATCCGATTGATCTTAGTGGATCAAATTGATAGGTATTTTGCAGCTGGCAGAGAATCAATAGTTCGGAGAGCCCTTTAAAAAAACTTCGTTGTTGAAATTGATTCGTGTGACTTCATCCATCTGTATTTTCAGCCGTTCAAGCTGTAGCCGACATCACTAGTTAATTCAAACATGTACTTAAATTTGAGAACTGTTCAAATATATTTAGACAAAAAGCATGGTGTGTTCGTCCCAAGTAGTAGTCAACCTGAAAATATGATGAGAAATAAGAAAACTGGATTGTAAATTTTGGGATGAATCCAATATATTACTCAACGGTCAGTATCGGAATCGAAAACCATGTGTTCCAAAATGTTTATTTAGTGGGCTCAATATCTTTGAAAGCTCTGCGGAGCCGAAGGACTAAACAAATATTACAATGGAGATCTAAATCGATTTCCTATATTTTTGTGTGCTTGCAACGCATCGAATCTCGACAGATCCGCAAACTCTTTCTGCCGAGGATGCTGATGTTCGTTTTTGCATGCTTTATCGGCCTCCTGAAGGCACGTCCATTATCACCACCTCTTCATGCAGCACTTCTACCACTTCCTCTGTTGATTTGCTGGTGTTGTCTGACAATGCACCTACATCCACTACACCTGGGTACGAACTGCTATCCGAGTTGCAAGGCATTGTGTTCTTCAAGAAACTTCGTGGTACTTCAGGGAACTTTTTAAAGGTTCAGGGAACTTTCTTGAAGTGCAGATTTTTCTTTAAAGTTCAGCTAACGTTGTAGAAGCTCACCGAACTTCAGTGAACTTCGTAGAGTTTCATCGAACTGCTTCGGTAACTCTTCTTCTACGTACCTGAAAAAGTTATAAGACAACGACACTTCATACACCTCGCAGCTCGTAATTGACAGTATGGGCTGAATGAGGCTATTCATACTGTCGCTAATGTGATTAGTAACACTTATGCTTCGTTGGACTCTAATGTTCCGTTAACTGTTTTCACTAGAGCACTGTCCTGATTTTGAATGTTTCTTTGGTATTATTTTTGTTTTATGCATTAAGTCCATTTTTTGTTTTATGCATTAAATCCAACATATGTCAGATGAATCATGAGCTAAATTTAGTGAAATTATTTGAAGTTCTGAGATCATGGAAAAGTTCAGAAAACTTCGTAGAAGTGGGAACTTTATACAAGTATAGATATCTTCGTAGAAGTTTATTGTTTAATGGCAGAGAACCTCTATATTATTCAGGGACCTTTTTTTATAACTTCAGAGCTTTGATGAAACCTCATGAACTTGAAATAGTTCAGATAATCCCGCACAAATTCAGGAAATTTCGTGCGTCGAACTTTGCGGAAAATCAACGAGAAACGTAGACATGAAGCAAGCTTTGATGAAGTTTTGTGGATCGTAATAATTCGAGGAACTGCGTATACCTTCATAGAAGTACAGGGCACTTTGAAAAAGTTCAGGGAATTTCGTAAAGATAGAAGACTTCAGGGATCTTCGTTTAAGTTTAGGGAACTTCATAGCAGTTTGTCAGAGATCTTAAAAATCTCAATGAGCTTCGTGAAGATGAAGATTTTGGACCATCGTTTAATTTCAAGGTACTTTGAAATTTGAGTAAATTTTCTAAAACTTAAGGAGATTTTGTAGATGTTCAGGAAACGTTGCATAAGTAACAGGATATTCTTTCAGATATGCTCCCTAGACAGCCAGGAAGTTTTAAAAGATCAGCATTTGCTGATGTTCTTCTGATCTGAATTAACGAGTTGCTAAAAAAAGGATGACTTAAGAATGTGCTTAAGTTTTTGAATATCATAATTTTTCAAATGCATAGATCAACTTTCAACACGGTTTTTTTCCAAATTTAAACCATACACTCTGGCAACATGGTGATTTGATTGGTTGATCTATTGCAGGTTGTAGCAATGGCTGTACCACTTTCTGGTTTGTTGTAGCGAGATGGTGGCGCTTGGTGATCACTTTGTGGAATTGGTGCCGATACTCAGGTGCTTCCTTCTGACACTGTTGGTATACAAAGGCAAGGTCGCCCATTATCTAAACGGAAAAGTTATTTCTTCTTAGCGATTACGGACATCGACACGAAAACGATGCCATCGAAACCCGCAGAGCAATGGTCAGCAGAAGACACCTAGATCGTACCGTGCCAACCAGAAAGCGATTTGAAGGAACGGAACAGAAGGTCGGTAGACTTGGTGATATTAATAATTGGAATGGTAAATATATCACTGCACTGGTCTACACGCTCATCTGAGTTAAAGCCATCGATGCCCGCTCATGTCACTATTTTGCTGCAGCTATTTAGCATATACCGCGCCATCAACCAGTGGGTCACCGCTTCTGTTATGGAATTTATCTGAATGCTCGATCACATAAGGCACATTAAAAAAAATCTGAAAAATTTTAAGTAATGGTAACAAAGTACAAGTGAAAGCGAAAAGGTAATACGCCAAGAAAAAAATGTTCTGCAAAAAACTCTTCCACCCATTGAATTATCATAACATTGCTGCATTCGTAGCATTCCGATATAATCTATTCAAATTACGTAACATCCCTTCTAACAATGCATATCAGTTGTGTTGCCGATGCATGGTTAAATTACGTTGAACATTTGTGAACGTCTTGCAACGGTCAAATCCCCGTTCTAAACAATACACTTTTTGTAGAATTTTTGTCCATTCTATATTTTGAAAATAACGTGTCAAAAGATGTTAGTCATGTAAGTGCAGTTAAGTGTTGAACCGGAAAAAAATAAACAAAGAATATTCTAATTGACCGGCAAATTAATGGCTTTTGCTATTAGAGGATTTCAAGAATTTCCGGAGTGATTTGAGATTTGGGCGTAATTGCATTTGTAAACAAACACGTCAATCGTCGATTTCTCGCTAATAAAATCTAAATTTCGAA